TTCTTAGTCCCACGCTTGTGACAAGACGAAAAAAGTATCTTTCTTTAAAACTATTATACTGATGAACAATTGGCATCAAATAACAGCTGGCAAAACAATGAGTACGCTGACCAATACCACTCCATATATCAGTGGCTCAGACTCTTAAGTACATTTGTTTTCGGAAAAATGTGAAAACGTAGTATTTGTGGGATCAGTGATGGATTCAACAAGTCATAAACCAAATTATAAACTTGGATAAGGGAGTCCGACTTGTAGGTCGGACAATTTGAAGGCTGGGATATACATTGTTAGTCTTTCCTTGCCTGACTAAACCTCGTTAGCATGCACGTTTTGTTTCCCAATTCAGACCTCGTGACAGCACTCTAGAGAGTTATTACTTTCAAATTCTTGAATATCTTCGTGAGTATATGAATATAGACAAAGTAATTTTTCTCTCCATGAGAACATGGAAAATTATGTTCTCTTGATCTTGAAGATGCAACAAATCCGACCAAAGAATAAGGTATTGCATGGGTCTGCATCAAATTATAAACTCAGTGATTTGCATAAATGAAGTGAAGCTGCTAACCAGCACATCATCACAAATCGCCGGCTCAGATTGCCAATCACAAAACAGACGATTAACAAATATTGCTATTCCTCCTGAGTGGGAGATACATCCCAGCTTTCTATTAGATTTCCTTGACAGTTCGCCAGAACCCAATCATACTTCTGGCTGCAAGTAAAGCTTCTTGCTCAAAAACACGAAAAAATAATCCGGCGGGACCTGGGATCAACCTTTTGCGACCCGATAGCTGATCTGTCTTCAATCAAATCGAGATTTTGCCTCAGCAATGTTGAAACTAAAAGCAATGGAAATATCGGAAAAGAACATAGAATTCTGTAGTTTTTGAGCCGCAAGACCTGCACCATTATACCGTAAATTGAGATCTAAGATTATTGCAGTGTACCTGTAGAGTTATCGCAGCTTTAGAAGCTTTCGAGAAACCGGACCCGAAATTCTGGATCAGGAGTCCAATGGGTCAACTAATGCGCAACTTCGTCTCCCGCCCCCCCTGAAAAAGTAAGAATACCTCTATCATTAAATCGTTTTCTTACTTTTATTTCTTGGAGCACCTGGTCATATGTTCATGACCGTTCATCATAGATACATTTGATGCCATCTTCGCTTGTTTCTTTGATTGTAATTTCCGTTATTACTTAAATAATAAATTAATACTTTATAGATGGTGGCTTTATCCATTCTGTACTAAGGACCAAAATGTAAAATGTCGTATACACTTATATTTAAGGGCTTATAAAAATTACCTTGAAATTGAAAGCGCTATGTCTATAGTACCAAGAGCTGTGATTACAATCTTCGCACTGAAGGGGAGTAGACTCGTTCGGCCGCCACCCCTCCCCTTCCAATTCAAGATACATATATAATTATTATAAATAAAAATTACGCGCCTTTGATTGGCTGTCTAGGTAATCATATGATTTTTCCCGTGCAATTTGGAATAAATAAGCACGAGTAAATTTTTTCAAAGACTAATAAAATTGCAAAATCGATCAAAACAATAGTATATAATGATATTTTCACATCTTTAAGGCGCAAAACAGTTCAAAGTCCGGCTAAACAGTTCAAGGAATTGTTCAGTCTGGTTTGTTACTTCTTTGCACTGAATTACCTGAAAACTGCATTTATCTGAACCAATCAGAACTGAGTAATTTTTTTTATGTATCTTATTATTCATTTATTTTTTTTCTCAGTTCGTGAGCAGGCGGTATTCTACAAATCCTACAATCTGATTGGTTCCGAGAGCGGGCAGTATTCTCCCCATCCGGCACGCTCACAGGTATTCCGGTTCTTTTAGCAACCATTTGTTAGGTTTGAGAGAAAAATAAAAATGTTATTCACCAGCCAAGGTCGGTCCGTATTGGGAAAAACTGTGCCCTCTGTCTTGTGTACCGCAAATAAATTTTTCAAAGACTACAAATTTCACTCGCCTTACGGGCTCGTGCTGTTACAAGCGAGCGGGACATACACAAAAGTTATTCAACTCTCTCTGTTTTCTTATTTGTCGTTGATCAAATTTTAAATTACGAGATGATTCCACGTCGAGCTAAATGGATTCTTTGAACGTGTGGTTAGTTTTATGATTTATAGTTCCGTTCTCACGCAAAGTGTCGCTGAGATATAAATCGCCATCGAGTACTGCAGATTTAATCAAACTTACACAATTTTTAACTCGTGGATACGCTTTAGAAAATTGAGATGTCAGATGCTGGAAGAAAATATTATTGAAAAAACTAATGGTATGGTTTTTCATAGCTCTCTTTACTGTGAATGAACTTAAAAAGTAAATGTAGAAAACACGTTGAGACTATATTCGCATGGTTTCCAGGGGTGGTCTGTTTAGGTGTAGGTGTTTCCAGCTGCCAAATATGTGTAACATATAGCCATGTGGCAGCCAAAGAGATACGCAAAAATCAACTTGAAGACAAGAATATGAAAGAATTAAAATCGCTCAGGCGGCGCGACATAATATCTCCATATCTATCGTTGATTTTCATCGTCGATTTCGAGACTTTGAAGCTGAGTATTCCTCTGCACGTTTGCTCTTCGTTTTCGAGATCTACAAAAGTGTATTTTGATCAAGTACGGAGCAAAGAGAGGCGGAAAAATTACCTTGACGATTATAGCGTACGGTCTGACAAAATATTTTGTCGATTTTACGACTTTACAGCCCTTTTCTTTCTAATAAAGTATTGTTACGCACATTTCCTCTTCGTTTGTAAGGTATACATAGGTATATTTTCATTGGGGATGAAGCGAAAAGAAGGAAAAACCAGCCAGATCGTATTAGCCTCGGGCCCTACGACAGACGCCATTTTGAATTATGTCTTTGTACCACCCCCCAGATATTTAAAAAGCGACAATAGCAGGATTTTGCTGACAGAGGCAGAATGGACTGAATCGTGAAAATTAAAGCACTAGACCTACATGTACTGTAAAATCATCGATCGGTGGTTACCAATGCCTAACAGTAAGTATTCCATGTCAAAAAGCTCCACTCCTAGCAGAGATACACTGTACACAGCTGTATACCTTGATAAAAGTAGAGTACCACAAGGGAAGAGTAGAAATCGATAATTTCAAAACCAATCGATCAATCAATAGAAGAATCAGTCAATACTTTAAAGTAAGGATTCTCTAGCAAAATTAATTCCTAACTGGTGTAGAGTATTCATAGGTCAAATAACTCCTTTCATTCCTCTGATTCAACTGTCCTTTATTCAATAATTAAGACATTATATCTACTATATAATACTCGTAATTAGATATTTTACTTCTATTTAGGAGAATCCACATTTACGACACGATTGACAAATACAAAGTTTCCTCACAGCGGTAACGCTATGTAACGCAATACACTACAACTGGCATTCACCTCATAAAGTATGAGTATGAGTTCTTATGCATACTATAGCTGAAGATCTCAAACGTTTAGTTGTAGCTTACCAATAATATCGAGGCTGAAGCACTGTGATGCGATCGACCATCCCAGTGAGGAGACAAGCGGCGCATATAGTTGACACAAAGGAATCGACAGTCCACAATTTGACTGACCTTTGCAGAGAAATTAAATCACCACGACTAATGGAAAGCACATTAACCTCTGCTGTGTCTAAATTTTCTGTTAATTCGTTAAAACCTACCGCCTAAAGAGTGTTACATGCACACTGAAGAAATGAGCCCTCAAGGATTTCTGGGACTGACCAATCTTGGTAACCACGCTTTTTCTACCGGCGGGAAAAGTTACTTAGATGACACTTACACTCGATGCCTCTCCCACACCGGGACAAAAAGGGCCCTTATATAAGGGCTGATTCACACAAAGGGACTGAATTAAATTCCTTAGTGGGCCAAATTGGTTTTTGGCGGGTTAGAGATGGTTTTGAGGGTCGATAAAGACTCATTTGATAAAATGGCCCCACAAAGGGTCAAGACAGCTCCAGGGGCCATAGAGTTTAATCGGTCCTTTGGGGCTGAAACAGATATTTTGAATTTACAGCGCAATTATTGTTTGTTTCCTGTAAATTCTATGAAAAGGAATGACGTCATTTGATCACGTGATAATACCTGTTCAGCTACTTATTGGGCACTGCTATCATACATAATATTAAACTAGATGTAATCGCAGTTTTCAAAAATACATGGCAGCATTACTACCCCTGAGTGGTACCGAAGGGTCATTTTTCGGGGTCATGGCCCATGGACTACCAGAGATATCAAGTTGGGCCTTCACTGGCATTGACTTCGTCAAAACCTGGAAAAGCTTTCCTTGGTTAAGGGAAAGGTAAGGAAGTTAAAACAGTTCGATTTTCTTGAAATCTGATAGATATGGAGCATAAAACAGTGGATTGAATTTGCGAATGGCATTTCTGTTTTTCACAGGAGCAAGGCAAAGTTAACTCATTAACTGTGCAAAAAAATGCAGCCAAACATTGGGATATCCCAAGGGGGCCCCATATCTTCCAGGGAATTGATTAATTTGAACTATCACTTTCACACATTTTTTAACTCGTAATACTTTGCTCTTGTGCGATGTTTGAGCCAAATCAGTGATATAAGCATTATCACCCCCGCCTGGTACCACCCGGTTTTTTTGTGGAAAAGCTCTTACTTAGCCGCCCTAGCGGTGGGTCATGACCTTGCGACTTCAAACTGTAGGTTTTCTTCTATATCAATTGCAGGCGCTATAGAAATTGGGTTTAGGGAGAGGTAAGTTCCAGAGAGTGAAACGAAGCCTTTAATTTACGTAAAAATTTAACAAAAATTTATGCCAATCTTAACCCATATTTGTCATTACACAACTGATCGATTTCTCATCTTCGCCTTTATGGTCTTTATGCACAGTTCCATTATCGTCTGTGACGTGGTCATCGAGTGGCGCGAAATAGGAAAGGATACATCAATTTGCGCTCTGTAAATTATCTATTATCTAGGGTGATATAATGCTCATGATTTCACATCAACAGATCAAAATAAAAGTTAGTACGAATAATTCATAAGTAGGTATGTTAAACATATATGCCATGCTGCATGTCTCTTAATTTCTCAAAACTTTGTAAACGAATGCCAAAGTTTCTTTGGGCATGTCCTCGGCTGCATACATTGGTATAGTCTGTTTGGACGAGCAGATCCATTTCCCAGCTTTTTCTAGCTCCGAAATAGTTTTCTGATAGTCTCCTAATTCCTTTTCCCAAATATTGAAACAGAGGAGGCCATCTGCAAAGCAATTAACGTCAAGATTAAGTTATCTTGTGAGGTTTTTATCTTGAGAAGTCTCCAACTTTGCGTCTAATTTTTTTCCATGTAATGGAGTCTTTCATTTGCAGAGTTGTTCAACCTGTAACCTTACTATATGATCACTATTTTATCCAACAAAAAGGTGGAGAGAACAACACGCTTATCAACTAGAAGGCGTGATCTTGATATCACAAGAAATTCCTTCAGCGAATTTGTAAAGTCCTCATTTAGTAGAAAGAAAGGAAATTTACGGGTCAGATCTCAGTCAAACGAATATTCTAAGAAAGGTTTTGCATGATCTATGTCATGCTTGAAGCTTGAAAAATGAACTCAGAACAAAAACTTGATAAATTAACGAAATAAAAACTTGTGAATTACTTATACACGTTTTCCCTTTTTGCAATCCCGTTATGCCCTCAAACTTAAGTCATCCCTCTTCTATTTTTGGTAAATAATATTCTTTCACCAAAGGTTTTACCAAAGCATAATGCCATTTCAGGCATATAGTGGCCGTCAAATTGAAGATAACATTTTCTTTATAGGGCATAAAAAACATTGTGCGCGAGCTTCTTACACAACAGATGTTTTGGACTTGCGACCAATTGACTCACCAGCACGAACCATTCTGATCATCTCCACAAAAGCAGATGAACGAACAAGGCCTTCAAAGAGTGTCGCAGCACAAATCAAGGCATCAAATTGCCCGGTTTCAATCTGAGGAATCGGCTGCTCGCTCAAAGAGGCGCAGATAAACTCATTATAGATCTCTTTCTCCTTTGCTTCCTTTAACATCTCAGCTGAGATGTCCAAAGCACATAAGTTGGTGTATCCGAGTTTCTTGAGCTCAACTCCTATCAGCCCTGTTCCAGCTCCAGCGTCAATGATTTTAATCTGATCGTTTGGTTTATCCAGGAAAACATCTTTCAAGGTTTTATGCAAACATTCGGCAAGAGGCTTGTGATAGGCAGAACGTGCCGCTAAATGTTCCTATATGATAAGAAAGTTGAATCTCGTGGAACAACTACTAAGTTGAGAAATATAGAATAATACATGGGCGCGCGTAGATATGGAATTTCTCTTCGAGTGTTTAACTCGATAGCTCACGAGTGAGTGCAGCGAACGAGTGAGATGTCGAGTTGAACACGAGAAGAGAAATTCCATATCTACAGGCAACCATGTATTATTTTGTTTATCATATAAACGCAATAGCCCTTTACTGACAAGAAAAACCGACTACATTATTGAATGAAAATAAATGAATCCCCGAATAACAATCGTAGAGCGCGTGGGCGCTAACCTGACCGAGTAGCGCCAAAGGCGAGGGACGTGTCAGCAGCTGATTGGCTATATCAACACACGTAAAAAAATACGATATTTTTTCATGTGTGTTGTTACGGCTTTTCTCAGGGCCGGAAATCTCTGTATGATACCGCAGTTTATGTTATAGAAATTATATCAATACGAAACCAATATTGCATTATCTTTCATTTTTATCGATAAGATCCATCTTTCTATTTACTTGAAGGAAATTCTATTTAATGTTCATGTTTCAGTAATGGATCCAAATGGGACGTGTTTGGCCATAAATGAAATGACCCTTAAATAAAGTCAGGATCTTGTGACCTCCTAAATCCTGTGCCTGATGCAGTCTCATGTGTCGATCAATTCGAAGCTTCGATACACCCCGTCCGGGCAATTGAACATTTGAAGACTGGTTCGTTCTAATTCCTTCCACAGGGGAAAAAGTTGTGTTCCACTGTCCCTCCCACGTGGCGGATCTGATCATCATTTTTTAGCGACCATTATTTTCTTGTAAACATTTAATTCTGAGCCATCTGCTCGCAATAGTTACCTTTTCCCTTAGCAGTTTAACTCTCAGAAGTGATTAAAGACATTGCCACGATTGTTTTGTAATACCCGCATTGTTATACCCTTGATTCAGATTGAAAAATATTGCAGTGCGTTCGTTAAGCAACAAGGACTTTTGAGAAACGGGCTAATAAACTCTCGATCAGGAGTACGATGGTTCAACCGATGAGCCATATCGTCACCTTCCCCTGAACAAGAATGTTCTTATCATTATTTTACTTTCATTTCGAAGATCACCTGGTCATACGTTCTTGATCTTTCATCATAGATACGTTTTACTTCGTCTTCAGTTGTTTCTTTGGTAAAGTTTCCTGTTTTTGCTCCAAAATACTTTGTAAAGCCTGCTTTGGCCTGTTCTTTATCCATTCTATACATAGGCAAAAAATGCAAAACATTTCCTACAGTTGTCTATAACAATTTGGACAATACATACATGTAAAGTAACACAATGCTGAATGTAGGTTTCTTTAGTCCATTAGGGCATAAAGTTCAACTTTCAGTTGGTTGAGAGCAAAACTTTTACTATAATTATTGTATTTAGGTTTTGTGGGACTGTATTTTCAATAAAGAACACAGAAAAATTTAGCTCAGGTAGGTAGATATGAGGTTGTAAATGGAAAGAGTCTAGAGAAAAAAGATAGGTGCATTACAAGATCAGAACACAAGCAATATTTTAATGAATCATATGTTGAGTTAAGTACTCTGAAGTAACATTGCTAATAATTTTTAACCCAATAAGATTTACAATTTGACCTGGAGGTTTTATTTAACAGAAAGTTCAATAGAGATAGAGTGTCACCATGATAGATTTCAGGAACAGTAATCAGAGACATAACTTAAACACAGCAGAGTTCAATGTACAGGCAAGTGCATGATGGTATCATATGATTTAAACTACCAGATGCTTTCAAGTTTTCTTATTATTGAAATTGTAATTTCATGCCAGTGAGTCTACCAAATTCAAGTTATGTGGAGAAATGAATAGGTGAACTTGACATCATCATGCAAATAATCAACTTGACATCATCATGCAAATAATCAACTTGACATCATCATGCAAATAATCAACTTCACATTATCATGCAAAGTGCTACTCTACCGTACAAAAAGGTCCAAAACAAACATGGTAAGCAACTGAACTTCTTGTATCACTTTGTGTTAGAGCACACAAGAGGACTTGTGAGACCTGCTTCACTCTCATTTGCCAGAACAAGATTGAACTTCTGGTACCAATCAAAATTCAGAATGACTGTGACAGTTTGGAACTGATCTGTTAAAACTGTGCTTTCAAGGGGTCTACAGATATGATTAGAACCTTGGGTCTCGGAGGATACCTGATGGTTATCTAATCCACATCAAGTAGCTCTAACTCTCAACTATAAACATAACAAATGTCAGTTCCATTGAACTGTCTTAATAAAAACTCAACAAAGTCTAAGCTAAGTTATTTAAATTGTACTTTGGTATTCTAAATAAGCAGAAGTAAATTTTTCACAAACATCAAATGTTGAGCTCATAGCGTGTGCAGTTTAAAGTACTTGAAAAATTTACAAGTGCTCATCATATGAGAAATCGTGTTATTAATTATTCATAATGTATACATGAAAGATACACATTTTCAGGAGATCAACAAACTGATGGCAGATAAATTTGACAGTATTGACTAAATGAAGTGTGCTACCAAAATTTGTCCAAAATGCAATTTTGTTAGTGTTTATCAATATACATATAAGTATCCCAGCTTTTGTATACTTTTGCCAGCTACTGCATGTATCAATCAGAACAACCTACTTTGTGCAAATCTGATTGGTTTCTAATGTGATCTATTGTTGCTGAGCCTAGATTATATTATTTTGTACATGAGTTATTACTTGAAAAAGGCACCTAGCTATTTTCAGCCAATCAAAAAAGTGTAATTTTTCATGTATGTCAGTATTGTGATGAATTCGCCATACCAAACAAGTAACTGAAAAGGAGTTGTAGTCTACCAAATAAAGGCCTAATATACTTGTATTGCTACCAAGTATAGATACCAATGCTTATCTGAACCATTATGAAGAGAATCTAGAAGACTGCTAAGCTTGAAGGAAGTCATGAAATGTTAAGGTCTGAATAATTCTGGCCAGAACTTGGAAAACATAACACTAATCACATTTCAGTTAACATTAAAGCACTAGGCTCCTATTCATATTTTAATAAAAGCAAAACCACTTTGTCACTGAGTTTCAATGGATTACTCCCCAAAGTTTGGAATCAATCACAATAGACATTTCGCACCATGTTAATGACAAACCGCAGTTTCAGGTTAGGCGTTAGACGTTTGTGACTTTAATTGGTTTAGCTAAAAGTATGTAAACATGGAAGTATAATTTCATTTAAAGAGGCCGTCAAATTGAATTTCCAGACAACAGCAGTGTTTGATTTTCTAATGGCAACAAAAACGTCCTATTTTCACTCACTGGCTAAAAATTGTTTATTCTATTCGTATTGGATGACACGTAATGCCATGGGTGGCAGGGTATTCTGCAGTTTTGGTCTCATTTCTTCTTTCAATACTAAAACCTTGTTCACTTTCTCTACAAAGTTCCCGCTCTGCGAAATACTTTTATTTATTTTGATCAAAAGGCTGCCTGGCAGGGGAACGGTCGGTCTAAGTCCCAGGCCTCAACATCTGCCTAAAGTATGTCTAACTCCTGACAGGCACAAACAGAACAGGTAAGGGATAATAGCGAAAATAGTTTTGCGGCTGTCTATCCAGTCGCTGTGTAGTCCTAAACTTCCCACAGACAATGAGGAAAAGATAAAACTACTGTTCTGAGAAATAATTTATTTTTGCTATACTGAGTCTTTTTTCAGGGAATTTAGTCCAGCAACATTATCGAACTTTGAGGGTTTTTAAGTGAATAACCCTTTTCGTAGATCTTTTTTCATATTGTACGTGTGGACTAACTCCAACGCATGATATAAAACTTTCACGGGTGTGTCAATTTTTTTTAGTAAACGACATCAGCGAGCATCGGCTGTTTTGTCTCACACTTTGTTTTCAAATCAGATGATGAATATAAATTCTAAAGCCAGCGGTACCATAAGACCTTAAATGAACTCCAGAAGAAATTTAAGACTTAAAAGAACAGGAGAAGTTTCGTCGTTACCTTTATTTAAACTAATTAACCTAACTTTCTAATATTACTTAATAAAGTGCAAATTGCATACTGCTTTGTTGTTTCTTCTGGACCAAGTCCTTCTTGACCTTGATAAGAACAACGTCAGCGGCTTAGTTTTTGTGGACTATAGCAAGGCATTCGACTTGATCAATCATGACATTCTCCTGGTAAAGTTAAGATCATATAGATTTCCAGATAATGTTGTAAAGCTATTGCAGAGCTATCTACTCAATCGCAAACAGTGTGTTACTGTAAATAACTCGACTTCGTCACAACTTACGCTAACCAATGGAGTTCCTCAAGGTAGCATATTAGGACCTCTACTGTTTTTAATTTTCGTCAATGATCTTCCCGAAGCTGTTGGATCGGACTCAACTATTCATGCTTACGCGGATGACACCACATTTAAAGCCAGCGCTAATATCGATAATGCACCTTTGGAATTGGAACGACGTCTTCAAGAATACATGGATAAATTAAGTAAATGGTCTAGCGAAAATGGGATGGTCCTAAACGCCGTTAAAACCAATGCATTACTTATCACCGGAAAGAGGCTACATTCATCATTAGCGGATGGCAATCACCTGTCAATAACCTGATGGGGCCGAAATAGAACAAGTAACTTCTTATAAATTGCTTGGTGTAACACTCGATCAAGATCTTACATTTAGCGACCACATTTCTAGTCTAAAGGCCAAGCTTTCTCAGCGTATTGGTTTATTGAAGAAGATAAAGAGGTACCTTCCAATAAAAGAAAGACTCTTATACTATAACACCTTGATTAAACCCGTCCTTATGTATGGGAGCATGGTTTGGAATATCTGCGACGCTAAAGAACTCCACTGTCTCCTAAGGTTACAGAAAAGGGCTGCCCGAGTAATTCTTGGAGTTGACTCTTATTCTAGAAGTGTTATAAACTTTAGTAAACTAGGCTGGTTGCCTTTTTTTGATGAAATCAAACTAAATAAGTGTACAATGATTTTTAAGAGCCTTAAAGGCGATGTTCCGATTTACATCAGAGACTTGCTCAAGACGAACAGTTCTGTACACAATAGGTCTACTAGACATGGCAATTTAAATTTAGTGTGTCCCAAATACCTAAGAAATAACGATGGTGGCAAGGCATTCAGTGTTGACGCAGTTAAGTTATGGAACAGCCTTCCCCATAATATCAAAAATAAGCCTAGTATAAAACTATTCAAAACAGCTGTGAAAAAGTATTTTATAAGCTCATATAGAAACCTGGACAACTTTGAAACAATATTAAGCAATAGCACATTATCTAATTTTAATTTTTTATAAATTAATTTTATCTTTCTGAATATTTTTAATATATCCTGCTATTTCTATCATAGAATTTTGTAATTATTTGTATATTTATCTATTTATTAGTATTATTTTGTAATGCTGTATAATCTAGTTAGAGGGCCACAGGTTTGTCAGCTTTTCAGCTGTTACGTGTCCCCCTCTATAAATAAAGTCCTTATTATTATTATTATATCGGGCAGGGTAATTGTAAAAATCGAGTGCAAATGGCTATTACAAATCCAATGCTACCTTGAAAAATGCGCGCGTTAAGTGTGATATCAGAAACAATAGATTAAACAAGGCCTTTTTTTCTTGGGGTAATTTGGTATTATCAACTAAGTTAACGACGTAAATTGGCCTTCGTAAAGAGTTTAAAAGCTAACGTTTCGAGCGTTTACCCTTCGTCAGAGCGAATGGAGGAATTGTGGGTTGTGTGTTTGTTACAAAGCTTTGAAACTCCGAATGGTGGCCGATTATGTTATCAACTCAGTTGATAATACCAAATTAGCTTGTTCTCCTGGTTTTGACAAAGTCCAAGAATAAGGTAATCTAGTATTATCAACTGAGTTGATAAGGTAAATTGGCCACCGTAAGAATTCAGAAGCAGACGTTTCGAGCGTTAGCCCTTCGACAATCACTCTGACGAAGGGCTAACGCTCGAAACGTCAGCTTTTAATAAACTCTTTTCGGTGGCTAATTTACGTTACCAACTCAGTTGATAATACAAAATTACATGGTTATACCCTCCCACCGACGCAGCACCACTTTTTTTTTTAGAAAGTTACCCCCTTTATCCAAGAATGAGGGATTTGAAGGGCCAGTATATCCAGTGACCAACCGCTTCGGATCATAATTCCTTCATGGGCATGGAAAGCCATCAATTGACTTTCGCAAA